AAAGAACCCATAACCTACAGACAAGGAACCATCTCACATGTACTTCGAGTGGTAAACTTAATAAAACAAGATGAAAGATAAATTGTGGACCTAAGGAAACAAATTGAGGCCCAAAGCAACATATTTTCAGAACAAATAAATTAGAAATAGGGAACAGAATAGAGATAGTTAGCAATTAAATTACATAATAGAAAAGCTTTCTTCAGATATTCAGAATACAGATGAAAAAGACAAAGATTAAAGTCAGAAAAGCTAATTAATAAATATGGAGCTAAAAATTTCTCTAGTACAATAATGAGTGCCCCTGAAATAGAGCACTCAACAAATGCAGCAGGAAATTATATTGGGTCGGCAAGTAAGTAATTGCGGGTTTCACACATATATAGCTTCGGTTGAATTTTTAGGTTTGCAGACGTAGTAAAAATGTAAAACACATTTTGTTATTTGATAGTTGGCTATTCAGCTGTTAATCAGTAAAAAAAGTTTTTTGATCTGTTTTGTAGTTTTCGTTTGGCGTTCGTTGAAAAATGGAAAATCAAAAGGAACATTTTCGTCATATTTTGATTTTTTATTTCCACAAAGGGAAAAACGCATCGCAAGCTCATAAAAAGTTATGTGCTGTTTATGGTGACGAAACCTTAAAAGAACGGCAGTGTCAAAATTGGTTTGCCAAATTTCGTTCTGGTGATTTTTCACTCAAAGATGAAAAACGCTCTGGTTGTCCAGTTGAAGTTGATGACGCCCTAATCAAAGCAATAATCAATTCGGACTGTCACAGTACAACACGTGAGATTGCAGAGAAGCTTCATGTATCACATACATGCATTGAAAATCACTTAAAACAACTTGGCTATGTTCAAAAACTCGATACATGGGTTCCTCACGAACTGAAAGAATCACAGTTAACGCAACTCATTAGCAGCTGCGATTTGCTAAAGAAACGTAATGAAAATGATCCATTTTTAAAACGACTGATAACTGGCGATGAAAAATGGGTTGTTTACAACAATATCAAGCGGAAAAGATCGTGGAGCAGGCCAGGTGAACCAACTCAAACAACATCAAAAGCTGATATTCATCAAAAGAAGGTTTTGTTATCAGTTTGGTGGGATTACAAAGGAATTGTCTACTTTGAACTCTTACCACCCAACCGAACGATCAATTCTGATGTCTACATTGAACAACTAATGAAATTAAACAATGCAGTTGAAGAAAAGCGGCCCAAATTGACAAATCGAAAAGGTGTTGTATTCCATCATGACAATGCAAGGCCACACACATCTTTGGTCACTCGGCAAAAATTAATGGAGCTTGGTTGGGATGTTTTGCCACATCCACCATATAGTCCTGACCTTGCACCATCTGATTACTTTTTGTTTCAATCTTTACAAAACTCCTTGAATGGTAAAAATTTCAATAATGATGATGATGTCAAATCGTACCTGATTCAGTTTTTTGCTAATAAAAACCAGAAGTTTTTTGAACGTGGGATTATGATGCTGCCTGAAAGATGGCAAAAGGTCATTGATCAAAATGGGCAATACATTACAGAATAAAGTTATTTAGTTCCATGAAAAAATTGTCTTTGATTTTCTTTAAAAAATCCGCAATTACTTACTTGCCGACCCAATACAATAAAAGCAAACTTACCTGAAATGAAGATACGATAAAAGTGAACTTACCTGAAATGAAGAACTGACTACAGATAGGAAATATCCTGCTGAAGGGGGAAGGGAACATAGAATATATATTATTCTCAATTTTCAAAGCAGGAAGTCAATGCTATCTAAAATTGAAAGAAGAAAAGCCATAATTTCTTCCACTTAGTGCTTTTCTTAATGTCTTTTCTTTAGGGGATTCTTTTGCAAAATTTCTATTTTGGTGAGGAAATATTTAGCATATTCTTCTGTTTTATCTTGTTTCTTTTATTAAATTATAATTTAATGCTTTCATTTAAAAAATAGCATATTAGCAGAAACCGGTTTGGCTCAATGGATAGAGCGTTGACTTGGGGACTGAAAGGTCCCGGGTTCGATTCCGGTCAAGGGCATGTACCTTGGTTGTGGGCATATCCCCAGTAGGGGGTGTGCAAGAGGCAGCTGATCGATGACTCATCGATGTTTCTAACTATCTCTCTCCCTTCCTCTCTGTACAAAGTCAATAAAATATTATTTAAAAATCAATAAAATATATTAAAATAAATAAATAAAATAAAAATAGCATATTTTTGTAAAGGTATTGCTTTTACTCTATGCAAAAGGAAAAGTTGGTAGGTGTCTGGAGTGATGTTAACTTAGTAGTAATGATATTTCTGATTGGTAAGAATTGAGATATATATATCAGAGTCTAGTCAGGAGGCAGAAACCAATTGCTTTTAACAGAATATATTTAATATAAAGTATTGTAAAGAGATACTAAACTAAAATGGTAAAGTAGGATACAAAAGTTTTCTCAGAAATATCAACTGGGAGAAGCAGCTATCATTTCTAAGGTTATGGGACAAAGGAAAGAGGTTGGAATTACTAAATATGTAAACACACAGGAGGGAACTAAAATTCATGGAATTTAAATTCAGATCTCTGCTACTTAGGCTGGTATTAATGCCTCTGGGACTGAGCATGGGTCCTTTGGGCCTGAGACCCAGTCATCTGGTGCTGGTGTCTCTGAGGAGGGCACAACAAGGCTATTTGGGATAATAAGTGAGGTAGAAAACAATATTATTTTGTTCTAGATGGCTAGCCAGAATAGTCAATACCTTTCCACTTAGAATTCTCCCTCTGTGTCTCCCAGTAGGGTTTTTAAAAAGCTTTTTATTCATACTGATCTTACGCATTTTTTAAATTCATAGCTAACTAGTTTAGTTTTATTCCTGTAAATGAAAACTCCTCTACTTTATCTTGTATATAAGAAAGCTCTTGATGTTTAATTATTAATGTAATATCCAGAAACCTTGCTAAATTTTATTGTCTGTCATAGTTTTTTTGTTGTTTTTTTGTTTTGTTTTGTTTTTTTACCTATGTTATTTAAGCTTCTCTAAATGGCTGCTTTTTATTTTGTTATGTGGAAAACTGTCTCCAATGCACTGATGTCTCTTTATTGACAAGTACCATTTGGACTGCTCTTACAAAGATACGATTACTGGTCTTCTGATTCTACCCCTATCTCATCACCAATTTATTCTTAACACAGCTGCTAATGTAATCTTTTAAAAAACATAAATCATTTCACTTTCCTGCTCAAAATCCTTAAATGACCAACCGTTCTTCTTCAAATATAATCCAAATTTCTTATCATAAACTACAGAGTTCTTAGTCTGCTTAAGCTGCCATAACAAACTACCATAGACTGGTGGCTTAACCAACATAAATTTATTTTATTCCCGTCTGGAAGCTGGGAAGTCCAAGATTAAAGTGCCAGCCAGTTCATTTTCTGCTGAGAGCCCTCTTCTTGGCTTGCAGTTGCCCACTTTCTTGCTGCATCTTCACATGGCTTGTCCTTGGTGTGTGCACCCGGGGAAAGACCTAATGTAGCCCTAAGTACCTTCCAAAGGCTCCACCTCCAAAAGCCTCACATTGGGTTAGAACTTCAACATATAAGTTGGGGGTGGAGCAGACATTCAGTCCATTACAATCTAAAATGCCTATCTCTTCAAGAGGCATTCTTCATAATCCCTTAAAATACTTCTTGTAAGTTTTTTAAACACATAAAGCTCATTTCCACTTAATAGTTTTTACACATGCTGTTCTGTCTGCCCAGAGACTCTTCCTTCTGCTCTTCACATGAAAGGTTTTATATCCTTAAGGTCTCAGTTTAAATAGCCCTTTCCCAGAAGCCACATATATGACCAGGTCTTTTCTATTACCTGTCAATTCACTGGATTTATTTACTAACCTATTACAAATATATATCTGTATATGTGCGTACATAATTTTATTCTTTTATCTAATTTTGTATATGTTTGGAATTCTCCATAATGGGAAAAAATTCATTGATAAACTTTTTTTAATTCTCTTTAATTCAGTTAAGGTTTTCCCTTAGCATACCAAAATTACAATTCTAGAAATTATTTGTATATAAAGACATTTATACGTGGATTTTTTTTTCCAGAACAGCAAAGATTTGGAAATAACCCAGATATCAGTGCGGGAGGGACCAGTTTAATGAATTCTGGTATAAAATCATACTAGGAAATACCACTCAGATATTAGAGAATGGAGCAATTCTATATGTAATGAGTAAGAAAACAGGTATAGATCATTGTGTATAGCGTGCATAGCCAGTTTGCCTCAGTGAATAGAGCATCGACTTATGAATCAGAAGGTCATGGTTTGATTCCCAGTCAGGGCACATGCTTGGGTTATGGAGTCAATCCTTAGTAGGGGCTGTGCAGGAGGCAGCCGATCAGTGATTCTGTCTTATCATTTATGTTTTTATCTCTCTCTCCCTTTTCCTTTCTCTCTAATATAAATAAAAATGTATTTAAAAAAATATACAGGGGTGGGCAAGAGGAGGTTTATAATTGTATGGAAAAAGATATGCAGGTTATGATTATTAAAATAGCTTTATTAACTCAAAAGAATGTTACAGTAAACCTACCCTTGCCTACCCCTTTATTATACTGGGATTTATCTGGATTATCTTTGCAAATATAGACCAGAATCTACTAACAGTGGTTACCTCAGAGACAGGGAATCAGATGACTGAAGGTTTAAAGGCAGGATGGGCACTTTCTTTTTCACTGAAAAAATAACAAAAATACTATGGAAGTAAAATGAATGACTGTTTCAGGCTGGAATTATAGGGAAGACTTTTCAAAGAACAAAGATAATAAAAATTTAGTATTGCTTTTATCTAACAAAAGTAGAAACTATATAAATGGGTAATCATAATAGATATTGCTATGAGATTATATATATACGTGTGTGTATGTATATGTGTATATATATATATATAATGCTTTCACATACAAATGGAAATATCTGGATTTTATTTGTTTTTAGGTGGTGATAGTGGACTGGATGGGTTAGGAGGACCAGGTGTACAACTAGGAAGCCCCGATAAGAAAAAAAGGAAGACAAACACACAGGTAAATTGACATTTCCTTATAATTGCAGTTTTTCCTTGCTGATATGATCAGGCTGTTGAGGTAAATTAAAATTTGGTCATGGGACCCTGGCTGGGTTGCTCAGTTGGTTAGAATATCGTCCTGTTCTGCCTAGGTTGCAGGTGCAATCCCTGGTCAGGGCACATACATGAAGCAACCAATGAATGCATGAATGGTGGAACAACAAATAGATGTTTCTTCTCTCTCTCAAATCAGGTTTTTGAAATTTGGTCATTGTTTTTGTTTCCTATCCTCATTCAGAAACTAATAGTGAATTCTGCAATAAATGTATTTTTTTTTCTCTGCAGCTAATGGTTATTGTGGAATTGTAGGTCAGTGTTTATTGCAAATGGGAAATGTAGGTAGACAAATTAAAATGCTTATTCTTAAGTCTAATTTTAAAGATATAGATGTCTATAGTCCTATTACAAGACATATATGGAGACAAGTTTAACTTGAAGTAACAGTGTTCAACTATTATAATTCAGTAGCATGTGCATATCATGAAGTAATCATAATGGAGATACCTTTTGTCTATAACCTGTGGTTTTAATAAGCAATACAGGTTTTGCAGGGTTTATTCTCTATAAATTTGGAGCATTCTTTTTATGATATACACTGTGAATAAGGATAATGTATGTACAGATGACTTTTTTCTATTTTGGCCACCATCTGTTAACCTTGTAGTGTGACTAAACTGGAAGTTTATTTTTCCATTATGCGGCCTAGAACTTTGGGGACAAGTTATTAGTTATTTCTTAAAGTTAAACTAGAAAAATGTTTAGATCCTGTTTATTTAATTTTATGATTATTTAGGGGTATAAGAGGTATTTTTAGTTAGAATTTTACATGAAAGATTCTAGAGTTATAAGCAAGTGTGTTAAGTGAAAATTACGGTAATGAATTGTCTTTTAATAGTTAAGTACTTTTGGAATTTGAAGTAATGGATTCATGCTCAGAAAAGCATTACTTTACTTATTTCCTTTTCTAAATGAAAGAAACTTATACATTTTATTATTACATATAATTATATATAATATTTGGAATTTAAAGGTCAAGTGAAGAATGAAATTTTCCTAACACTCTAAGCGAAACTTGACTAAAACTAAGTTCATAAAAGTTAAGATTTTATAGTGGGATGAATTTAATAACTGCTTTGATTAGAAGCATGTATTTTACTTTACATTCTCATTTTAGGGGCCTTCTTTTCCTCCATTGTCTGAGTATGCTCCGCCACCGAATCCAAACTCTGACCATCTAGTGGCTGCTAATCCATTTGATGACAACTATAATACTATTTCCTATAAACCACTACCTTCGTCAAATCCATATCTTGGCCCTGGGTATCCTGGTTTTGGAGGCTACAGCACATTCAGAATGCCACCTCACGTCCCCCCAAGAATGTCTTCCCCATACTGTGCTCCTTACTCGCTCAGGAATCAACCACACCCATTTCCTCAGAATCCTCTGGGCATGGGTTTTAATCGACCTCATGCCTTTAACTTTGGGCCACACGATAATTCAAATTTTGGAAATCCATCTTATAATAATGCACTAAGTCAGAATGTTAATATGCCTAATCAACACTTTAGACAAAATCCTGCTGAAAACTTCAACCAGATTCCTCCACAGAACGCTGGCCAGGTTTCTAATCCCGAGTTGGCATCTAACTTTATCCCTGGAAATAATTCAAATTTTGCTTCTCCATTAGAATCTAATCATTCTTTTATTCCTCCCCCAAATACTTTTGGTCAAGCAAAAGCAGCACCACCCCCAAAACAAGATTTTAATCAAGGATCAACCAAAAGCACTAATCAAAATTCCTCTGCTCAGCCACCGCACTTAAATATGGATGACACGATGAATCAGAGTAATATTGAATTAAAAAACGTTAACCAAAACAATGCAGTAAATCAAGAGAATAGCCGTTCAGGTAGTGCTGAAGCTACAAACAACAGCCATGCAAATGGGACACAGAATAAGCCACGACAGCCCAGAGGTGCAGCAGACACAGGCACCACGGAGAAAAGCAATAAATCCTCTCTCCACCCAAGCCGCCGCGGCCATTCTTCTTCCGACCCAGTGTATCCGTGTGGGATTTGTACAAACGAAGTGAATGATGATCAGGATGCCATCTTATGTGAAGCCTCTTGTCAGAAATGGTTTCATCGGATCTGCACTGGAATGACTGAGACAGCGTATGGCCTGCTCACTGCAGAAGCATCAGCAGTGTGGGGCTGTGATACCTGTATGGCTGACAAAGACATCCAGCTGATGCGCACTAGAGAAACTTTTGGCCCGCCTGCAGTGGGCAGCGATGCTTAATCACAGGCATTAACTGATGTGAGGGGTTTTTTCCTGTGTGTTACAGAGGTTCATTGACACAGGATTTGAATGTTTTACAATATTTTTTTTAAATGCACATGCAAAAAAAAGATGATTTACCTTTTAGTTTTTATTAATATTCCACTCCGTTACTAGTGCAAATTTTGTATTATCTTAGTTTGTTATCTAGGATAATATATATATGGGAGTGCTTTAGAAAGTATTTTACAAATAAATGTTAGTTGTTGTTAATTATAAAAGCCTCTTGAAGCTTCAAAATAATATGTAGCAAATGTAGGCAAGTTTTGACTTAAAAGTTAGAACCATTGAAAAGTGTATATTTCAGTGCTAAACTTTGGCAATATCACAAACATTTAGTTCAAAAATATTTTTGAGGATCCATTTAATGTGGTGTTTGGAAAATATATTTTTATTTATTTTAGAGAGGGAAAGAGAAACATCAATGATGAGAAAGAATCATTGATCATCTGCACGCCCCCTCCTAGGGATGGAGCCCACAACCTGGGCATGTGCCCTGACCGGGAATCGAACTGGTTTATAGGTCAATGCTCAACCACGGACCCACACTGGCCGGGCACCCATGTAATGTGTTTTCAGAAAGAAAAAAAAAGTAGCTATAGTATAGAAGAAAACATACATTTAATCGGTGTTTTTAAAAATAATAGCGTGTACACCTGATTCCTCCCTAACTAGGGTTCTTGAAATTAGTGACTTTCATGTTTCAAGTCAGTCTCTTCAGGATATGTTTGTACAGATATGAGACAAATGTTAGCATATAGAAGATGCTCAGTAAGTATTTGTGGATTAACTTGTAGATTGTACCACATGAAACTGCTATTGTTAGATAAGTTGAAAATTGACTTGGGTTACTAGAGTGGATGTGTTTTAGTTGTGCTATTTAGAATTGTAACAGTATTATGCTTTTCTCTCTTCCATTTTTTTTATTATTGGTTATTGCTTTCCAGAGAAATAAATAATATATCCTTGGGAGAATTGTGAATACTTTTTAATGCATGATTTCAAAATGAGACATGTTGCAAATAAAAGTGGTAGAAACATAAATTTGGCTTTAGAGCACTCTGCTAGCGAAAGGCGTTCATTGATTGATTGAAAAATAGGGTTCTGGGGATGTGAATTCAAAATGGAGGCTCAAGGGAGATTAAAATCCATTTTAAGCAAAGATCAATTAAGAGCCACGGTGAAAGCTAACTTACAAACAACAACTCCAGTCCTTACAGCAGATAGTTTTTGCTATGACTTAGGAAAGTGTAAAAATGGACCTGAGAGTATCCTCTTGAAAGATGATAGTTTTTGCTATGACTTGGGAAAGTGTAAAAATGGACCTGAGAGTATCCTCTTGAAAGATGATACAGAAGGGAGACAGTTGGAAGTCTATTAAGATTCAGCAGAAACTCAGTTTTGGGGTAAAACATAACCTGCAATCAGAAAAAGAAAAAAGGATACTGTGGCAATTGGTAGTAATTTATACAGTGGTTGGGTGTTGAAGCTTCCAAACTTGCATCATCACCAAAAAAACTCTGAAGACCATATGGTGACCTGTGAAAGGGATAATGAATCACTACTATTTAAACCCTGGTGAAACGGCAGCAGCAGCATATGCTAAAAAATTAAAATTAGGCCAGAAAAATCCAATTTAAAAATTATCCTGTGGTTAGTAAACATGAACCCACACTTTTACGTGACAGCACTTGACCTCATGTGTCAAAAGCTACGAAAGCAAAGTTAGCTGAATTGGGCTATTTTATCACATCCATCTTAGTCACCAGGCCTTTATATAATGAACTACCATCTTTTTCATCATTTGGAGCTTTTTCTAAGAACATAGTTTCCAATTGAGAAGTAATTGAAGAATTTGGACATTTTAAACAGCCTAACAAATGGTGAATTTTATAAAAATGAAATATTTAATCTAATTAGAAGAAAATTATTAATCCTCATAATTTGATGAAACAAAACTTATTTTTATATGTATTATTTTAATTTTGATTATAAAAACAACAGTTTCATATGGTACAAGGTAATATAAGTTTTTCTCCATTTACCTGTGACTAGTTAGAAATGAGTACAAAATATTTTAAGTATCTGTAAAATAATGTATCTTTACAGTTTTAGGAAATGAAATGATATAGACTCTAATAATAAGTACTCTTTTGTGTGGAAACTTTATCAGTTGAAACACTCAAGTTGAAATGCAGTATTTTGGGCTGACTCTGAAATTTGATGTGTTCAGTAGCATACTTGAAGATCCCAGTGTGCTTACACTGTAGCTTTTGTTAGATATAAAAGTGTTTCTAAATATTTAAGGACTTAATTAAGTTGTTCTTGAAATCCTAGTGAGTGCTGATTTTAAGTCATGGTGCACTGCATGCACTTGCTCAATACTAGTACCAGATCATGACTTACTTTTATGACTGAATGCAGTTAGATATTTAGTAGAACCTTCCAATGTTTGCAGTAATTAACACTTTACATGGTAATACTTGAGTTGTGCTCGTTGCTAAAACTGATTATGCAGTCTTAACCCTCTGTTGCTTACAGTTTCAATAGTTAGTTGTTTATAAAAATGAAACCACCTCTCCCTGGTTAGCCAAAAGATACTTGATTTGTAATGCAATTATTTCATTTTTCATTTGTAAGTAGTTGTCTTTAAAAACTTACAAGTGGATTTTTCTTCAGGTATTTAAGTTTTCAGAATACCTTATTTAAATAAGGATCTGTAATTATTAAAAATAAAAGCCAGTGGTTGATTCTGACAGTGAGTCATAGGCAAACTATACTAGTAGTAATCATAGCTGAAGAATGTTTTCATGTATTTTGCATTCATTTTTTTACGAGTTCTACCTTTGTCTCTACATAACATTAAGTCAAAAATTATCTAGATATTTTTGGTAGGAAAAGTGATGAACTATAAGAATGGCCAGATAGTAATTTATCCAATTTGACCCAAAGAAGGCTGTTACACACCTAAAAAAAGGTGTGGCTTTTAGGACCAGCGATGAGCTGCCCTAAACATTTAAAAATATTCATTGACAGAAAGAAATGTACATAGGTGAGATATTCTTCCAGTAGCATTGCACCTTTTTGTTGTAATTATTTTCCTTCACTAAAAGGCTCATTACCATCACACGTGCACACACATGCACACACACACACACATATGCACACACGTGCGTTCACAGGAGGGCAGGAAATCTTGGAGTTTCTTCTACATTCTCATTTGCCAAAGTTCATCCTGGCTAACCAGCAACAGTTAGGCTCTCCCTCCAAGGCCAGGAAAGTTCTAAAGCATCATCAGTTCCTTTCTGAGAATTTGCTTTGTTCATTTCACTAGCCTTTCTGTGCACTTGCTTCTAGATGCTACTGGACTAACACTGAAATAGCTTAACTTATAAAAGAAAAATAATTCTTCAGATAAAGTGCTTAGAATTTAGATTTGTGATCAGTGCTTTCCTTTTGTATGAAATACTTTAGAGTATTACTATTATGATTCTTGTTATCCAAATTAGAAAATTATGTACATATAACTGAAGATTTTCTTGACTGGTACTTATTCATAAATTAACATAATGTAAAGAAATCCAATTTTGGGGTGTTTTGGAATTTTGTTTTGTTTTGTTTTTTTTAGACTCCCTACTCTGACTAGTGATAGGAGAAAAAACTCAGTAGTATGGGTCACCATTAAATCTACCAACTTTAGTCATCCAAATAAGTATCAGGAGTCTTTATCCAATATTCTAACTTGTTCATCTTAAACAAATTAAGAGTGCTACTGCTTTATGTCCAACGTCCTATAGTGATTGTATTTAGTTGTAAAAAAATATATATATATATAAACAATGAAAAGGGAGCTCTAATTAGTTTCTGGGTTTTTTGCAGTGCATAGAGGTCTCAGATGCATGAACATTTAGGCTATTTTAGATTTTTTAATTAAAAAATTTAAAAGTATTGAGGCTCCCAAAGTTTATTTGAAAATAGTGGCTTAGAACTCTATATATAAAGATAGATTCTTAGGGAAGCTCATAAAGGCTTATTAAAGCATGATATAGTTAACCAGTAGTATCATGCTGTGCACTCAGCTTCTTTAGGAAACCAATCGGTATAGGTGGAAAAGAAGCAGAGGTCTTTCCTTTTTCCTGATGTGATTCAGGAAGGTTAAGTTCTTTGATGTGAGTGTTTCCCAGTTGTCCTCTTACCGTCCTAAATTCTCTGCTGCGATGCTATATAAGCCAACTTGCCTTTTCCCTTCCTGGATGCTCTGTGCTTCAGAATTTCATATCTTCCCTCCTGTCAGAATTTCCATTTCTTTGTGTGGCTGTGGTTGACTAGATTTTAAGAGAAAGATGTTTTCTACCAGGATGTGTGATTGAAGATCATGAAGAAAGTGGAATTAAATTTCTTTTTTAAAAAAGGGTGTTTATTAGTTCTGAATGAATCTTTAATATGCAAGGTTTCAACAAAATGATCACATTTTAGACAACATACAAAGCAGTATTTTTGCCGAATTGGTGATACTTTTTTGAGAGTATTTCCCAATTTCCTGTACATTGTTGGGATTAAAAAGTTTCCTTTCTTCTACTTCTCTGAACTCAGAGGTTTTCTTCTCATTTGTAAATATTAGAATATCACCTTTTTATGTATTTCATTTAACCAACAGAGCAGTATGGAAGTCACACCACATTTTCCTCACTCTTGGTACAGTGGTGGGAGTTTAGAGGTACCTTTTGATACAGAGGATAAGGATAACATTAACATCTCCCAAGACAAGTGGCCTAAGGGAAATGAAGGGAAGAAAATGGCTATATTTAAGCCAAACATTAATACATAAAAAACTGCCTGTATTTTTCATGAAACCCAATAGATAAGTTTCATCTTTGTCATAGTTTGTCAAATTACTTGCAATTATATTAAAAAGTATTCTAAATACCTGTATTTCCTTGTTCTGTAGATGATGTTGCTTGTTAGTTAAAATATCTTATAAAAGAAAGTCCTGCTTCTTATCATGATGTATGTGACTTAAATGACTGTTTCATATTAAAACTATTTCTTCCTTATGTACTGTTTACATATACCTCTTTTTGGGATATTAGTTCAGTACTTTTATACAAATCTGAGTGTGTTCCACATTGGTGACATGTATTTTTGCAGTAATTTTTTGTTTTATTCATAGAGCATGTCTAAAGTAACACATGCACTAGTGCTGTGGCCTGTTGCAAAATTATAATACTGTAATTCAAATTGGAAAATAAAATGTTTCCAGACTTTGTCCAACATTTATTCCTATGGCAAAGGAAATTACTATGTAATACTATTTCTTATGCTGTTATGTTTAAGCTACTCTATGAAGTATGTGAAACATCAATATTTATGGAATAGTAGTTGGCCTGATATCTTTGAAGTAGGAGAGGGGG